ACACACACACACACACTCAAATTAATATTATCTTCTTTAATTCATTATGCTCCATTCCCTCATCTGTATGCTTTTCTCTCTGGCGCTGCTCATATTGGCTCTGAGGCGTTTTCAAGAGGGCAAGATTAGACTTCCTGATAGGAAGTTATTAAAAGCCAGCATGCCTCTGAACTTTAGCTTCTGAAGAAGTCTGAAATCAGCATTTTCACACTGTGTGACTTTCTGTGTGTATACATTTACTTCAGTTTACAGAAGCTCTTCATGAGGGTACACACATGCTATGATAATCCCAAACATTTTGTTAGGTCAGACGGTTTTGATGTGTGCATACACATCCTCTTGGATTACTTATTTAGAGCACATGGTCAATAAATTCCCTGTGACCAATCCCCCTTTTCTGGGCTGTGTACATGAGTTCAGATGTAGCCAATGACTTCATTTTGCACAAAGCTTTCACTGCAGCCACATTGGCTGTGCACATCTGGATGGAGCGGCTGCACTGTAATCTTTAGAGCTGGCACGGTGTGCACAGTTGCATTTCAGATTGGCAGGATGCAGTTGAGCCGCTATGTACGTCCAATCATCAGATATTTTCAATACCCTTGATCTTTGAACTCGAGCTGAAAGTAGGCCATCCAGCACACAAGCCTCTTACGATGGAGGTCGGGTTCCATTCAGTAATTGACAGAAATTTAATTTGACTCTTTCCTCCATCTACTAAAAAAGCCCTGATGTGCCCATGAGCAAGCACCTGCTCCCTTTGCTCTGTGGCCAACAGTCTCCTCTGGCTTTAGTACACAGATGTTAGCATGCTGACGTTAGAATTGACCTCAGAGTGCCTTTGTGCTTAAGTAGCCTCACAGAGCCACTAGCACCGCTGTAGACTCTTAGAGTGAAGTGTAAGCATAATGAAGGCACACAGAACACTCTTTGGATGTAGAGAGTTCAGCTCAGAAAGGTTGATATTACTGAGCTACCAGACTGAGGTTTATGTGCAAAGTGTGTTTGGATTATTTGTGGTTTCAATGTGCTTGTTTTGCCAAGGAGATTGAATATAAAAAACCTATTTCATATTCCTCATAATAATGTAGGTAGTTCTGTTTCGTATTTAGAGCAGGGTGTAATTACAGGGATCTGAACTAGCATATGCCCAGGGCTGAATCCTGACAGAGTGCTCAGTTGTGTGTGTGTGTGTGTGTGTGTGCCCGAGTATGTGTGCTGGCACCAGCTTGCCGACCCACTGTCTCCGTCTGCGGTTAACTGAGCTCTCTTCAGCAGGGAACATCTCTCTCTCTCTTTCTCTCTTTCTCTCTTTCCTCTTCGTCTTCCACCACTACAGTCTTTTGTCAAGGTTTTTGTCTTCCTGCACCACTCTTCCCATTTACTTTAATTTCCGTCTAGCACTCTTCCCCCGGTTTAGACCACACCATCTCATCTCCTTTTCTGTTTATTCCTCCCCCTCATTTATACTACCTCGTTTTCCTCATCTCTCCATCCCTTCCTCCCTCCTCACTAATCTCTTTCCCTGTCCTATCCAGTGATAATAATCCCCCGCTTAATGTAATTGGACTCTGTAATCTTTGGTTAGCAACAATCAGCCTAATAGACAGCCTGGCTGGCTCTTTGTCCACACTAGTGTCCCCATCCGCTGACATCCAGTCTCCCAGTGTAGCCAATTAAATCTAGATCGTCCCAAACTCCCTTCAGCAAACTGATCTGCTGATGACAGAGCAGAATGGAGCACTGGTGGGCACAGTATCTCACTCGACTCGTGCTTTGTGGTGCATATATTACCCTGTAAGTGAATAATATAGTGTGATAATGCAGAGAGAGAGGTGAGTGGATAGATGGTGACAACTGCTGAGGAAACGTGACAACAAAAGGAAACAATTCCCTTAAAAATAGAAAATGTAGTGCTACTGCTTTCATCTGAAATCAGAGTGGCGCTTTGAAGCTTTTATTTTGACAAAAAAAGGAAACTGTCCTTTGTAGCTGTGTCCTTTCTAATGCAGTCGGTGGCTACAGATGCCCGATTTAAGTTCACTATTCTCGGTCAGTCACCAGTATCAAGAGTGTGATTTAAGAGTAATGACAGAAGGTCATTTTTTTAATGCACATTCCTGAACCAGTCCATGATCACTATGGAAACAGTGTGAGTGTGCGTGCGTGCATGTGTGCGCCCCTTTTAATCTGAGGGAGCGGATCTGCAGCTCCCACAGATTTGTTATATTAAACTGTAATCTTTTATCATCTCTAATCTATTAGATCACCGACTGCTCCTCTTGCTGCCCTCATCTCTGCGTGTGTGTGTGTGTTTGTTTGTGTGTGTGTGTGTTTGTGCTCGCATATCTGTATATATGTGGGTGTATGTCCCAAGGCAACACATTCTTTCATCTTTTTATATCACCATCTCCCACATTCCCTCCCACTCATTGAACTGTGATGTAGTCCTGCAGTGTTGTGTTAGAGAGACACCTGGTGGTAGATGTAGGAAATGGCCTGCACATGCAGTTCAATGTAAATATCCTCTCATAAATGACTACAGTATTACATAAACTGTGAAAATATGTATACTGACAATAAATGAATGTCATTGGCCCTCTCTGTCTATTTTCATTCTTAAAAAATGCAGTTGCTTACAATGCTTGTTTTGTCATACTAAAACACCAGTCCAAAACCTAAAAGTTTAAAATTTATAGTGATTTTATACAGAGAAAAACAGGAAATCATCACATTTGAGAAGCTGCAGCCAGAGAATGTTTTGCATTGTTTGCTTCAGAATTGGTTCAGATGGTTATTTGATTCTGTTCTGACAATGTACTAATTAATTAATCAACTTACTGTTTCAGTTCTACCAGTGCTAAATGTTTTGTGGAACAAAGCATGACCACAACAATTGTAATTTTATTTTAAACACTGTTGTTTAATGTTAATTGCAGCCCAATAAGAAATTTAATTATTTTAAAGGTCTAAGGTTCTTCAAAATATTTGTCTCATCAGCGGACCACAACTCAAAGATACTCAGTGTGCAATGATTTTAAAAGAGACAAAAGCAACATTTGAGAAAAGGTTGGGGCATTTTTGCTCAATAAACAGTTTAAATGATTAATAATTGTTATCACATCCTTCTGGTTGTTTGACTAATGGATCAACCAGTGTCCCAGTAAGCCCTAACAGTGTTGATTTGGGCATTTATTATTTGCTTTTATTTCTGTGCAGAGGGCCAATTTGTCAGCATCAGAAGAGGATTGTGGGTGATCGTTTGTAATACACAGCTTAATTGTGTAAACTCTTTTGAAGCTAGATTCCTCTTTTTGCTATTTTTCTTGTTACATAATCAAAATCAACACAGTGGAGAATAGATATGATTAGCTGAAAATGACCACCATGATCACTGTTTTATAACTCCAAAGACACACAGGCTTTAAATCCACAAGCGCAATGAAACTGCTTCTTCTTATCAGAGGCCAACAGCTCAATCTGTGGTTTTAACAGGAAGCTCTCCAGTGACAGTGTGTGAAAATATTAGAAAAGTTAAATTGTGAATGTTTGCATATGTGTGGTGCATTATTTTGCATAGTGCTATGGTATGAGGTTAATTATTCTGCTGATACCGTGGCTGCTTGCCAGTTTTTACCAGCAGCACAAAGGACCCTCTTTACACTCAATACATTCAGAGCGCTGATCAGGCTATGCGTTTATCTGAAAATAATGCATACTCTGCGACACTTGACCTTCTTGTATCGTTTACCACTCTCAGGAAGCCTTCCCACCCCCTGCTGAACTCCTTCATCAGCCACATGGGCCTGGGAGGGCGTGGCCATTGGGAGTCACCACTGAGCTCTGTTCCCCGTCTGCCCAACCACAGTGTCTGTGAGATGGGAGAACTCACGCAGACAGGTAGGCGAGGAAGTTCTCCCCACACAGACAAACAATCAGCCTCAAAATATTTCTTTTAAGTTCTTGTAATTTTTGTTTGTTCCCACAAATGCATCTATCTACACTGTGTTCCAAATTATTATGCAAATATGATTTCAAGTAAAAAAAAAACATTAGATTTTTTGTTTTTCAATTAAAGTTTTTAATTGTGCTGCTTCCC